ACAATGGTAAAATAGTCAAGTTGTCATGGGTTCAAACCTCAACCCCGTCATGTATATTATTGCATAATATTAAGCCGCACCTTTTCTTTTTTATTTATTTTTAAATAAAAAACTTAAAGTGTTATGACTGCGGTTTGTTCGTTCCACCGTTGTGATATTATTTAATTTGTTTTTTATTTAAAAAATTTAATTGCAAATTAAACTCTAGCACTTCTTTATGAAATTTCATATGAAAGTAATATTTCATAACTGTTTTTGGGTTTGGCCGTGGTGGTATCTTTATAATATTATACACTCCTAGTTAGCTTGTCTCTTCAGTATCCTTTTTTCCATTGAAAAAAAGAAACTAGATGAAACAATACATGATTTCTACCCTAAACCCTAACGTTCAATACTGTGAAACAATACACGATTTCAACCAAAACATTGATGTTCACCCTATCTTGTCTCTTCAGTATCCATTATGCACTGTGTATTTTTCATTTTCGTTATCATCGTCAAGGTTGATAAGACCATCACGATCGTGACATCGAGAAGGAAGAGTACAGCAACACCGTCGTTGTCACCATCGAGAAGGAAGACAATAATAACATTGTTGTTGTTGTTGTAAGGAAGGAAAACAACACCAACACCAACACCAACATCATTTACTTAGTCATCAAGTTTAGGATACGTAAATATTTTCCCCATGCATCTACAATAAACTTCATTTTCCATTGTTGTGGTTGTTGTTGTTTATGTTCTTGTTCTTCATGTTGTTTTTTTTGTTGTTTTTGAATGTAGATGTCGATCTTGTCGAGTTCTTCATCATATACTCAAAAAAATGAGTGTTGTGCGAATGAAACTCAAACAAATGATACTCAATCAAAAATATCACAAAGAGGTGTCACAATGATACCACAATTCACATCATCCCGCAACTCACCATCAGGTGAAAAAACTCTGATCGGATTTGATTTGTACTACAGAGTAGTTGATTGTGAACACTACTTTACTTTTACGAGTTATGTTGCGTTCCTTGGATGGAGAAAAGTGATTATATTGATAGATGATTGGAAAAAAGTGGATTAGAAAGTTAAAGAAAGCATATGGACAGACCTTAAGGTATTACATACTATAATTTTCATATATTAGATTTCACTACCTATAATTATTCACTATGTTAATAACAGCTTAAAAGCGAAGTAGGAATACGAAACAAGGAAAAGGACATGTACCCCTAAGATTGTCTCGTGGGGGTTACATGAAACTTGAAAAAATAATAATGCTTGAAAAATAACCACAAACAGGAGATGATCGCATCCCATCCCCTTCGTCGAGACATGAAAAATGGAAGAGGGATTGATTAAGACCAAATAGAGAGTACACCTCTGAGGTAACAAGAGTCATTGCCGAGAAAATTATAAGTATAATTTTTTTGCTTATGCTATTTGATATTTAAATATGTTGGTAACAATATACGTAAGTTGCTCATGTTGTGTAAGATAATTTGGTTGAGGCGACTCGTGAAGGCACATTTGTTCCAGAAGTACGACATGACATATTAGTAGAAGCAAACGGAACTGAGGAGCATGGTGGGCATGCTTGTGGTGTTGGAGAAGGTGTCGGCTTGAGGTTATTCTTTGGGTCTAAAAAAAGTAGCGAAAGCTCATAATTAAATGCACAAAAACAAAAGATTAGGAATGTTGAGAAGCAATTAGAAGAACAAATGAGGTTGTTTAAAGAGGAGAGGGAAAAAAGGGAGAAATATGTGCAAATGTTTCAAGAGTTATATTCGGTATGTGCTTTACTTGAGATTTTAGTGTTTTTATCGGAAATGTATGATATATATTGTGCTTATTTTTGTTCTAACTGAATATTATGATGTAGAGATTAAGTGAAAACATCGAACAACGTACAAATGAAGATTAATGTTATGTTGATGGTGATCATGATCATGATCAAACTCCAAGTAGAAGTGTTGTACATCGTGCTTCTATAAAAGGAAGTAATTATTCAGCCCCCCTCCCCCCTCCAGCTAACTGCAATGAGTTATTGGACTCTAACTCAAATGAAGTCACCACGTTATACTTGAACGTTATGGTGATGAATGCTATGGAACCTCTTCCGCTAGAACATTGTTTATATGTGGATTTATTTTATTACAATTCTGAAGATGTAAGGGATTTTCTCGGTGGATATAAGTGTTTGGACGTAGGGATATTGTAAGTTTGGTGCACGTAAGTATATAGTTGAGTATACACATTATCATTTTTTGTATTTCCTCAATTAATTTATTCATTTTCTTTAACTATTTAAGTATATTCACCGTGTTTGTATAGAGTTGAATAAATCGAGTATTTATGGAATCTTGGATCCGCTTTTTATTCGATGGTCGTATAATCCACCAAAAGATATTCAAAATTACTTGAAAAAACAGTTAAATGAGGGAGGAAAATAATGTTACTTAGTACCGTTTCTATGTTGGTACATATTTTTGTTATTGATGTTTATGTATTCTATATTTAGTTATGTTTTAGCAAATACTAATAATATATATGCTCATGTTTATTCAGTGGTCATTATTAATTGATCATAATATCATTTGAGATGAATACGATAATTGTATTGTGTTCCTTGCATGGTCCACTCGACAAGAAAATGAAAGAGATTGTTAATTCGTAAGTGTATGTTTATTTCATTTTATTTGATATTGTAAGTAGTTTAGCATGTAATATGTTTAATTCATATTCAATGTACAGTATTGTGGAGCAAGTGAATATGATGAACAATGTTAGAAGAAAGCCCTCATGGATCTCTCCTAAAGTAAGTTGCCTGATTACGTGTTTCTTTCATTTACATTCATGTGTAGTTATATTTATGTATGGTTATATTTATGTATGGTTACATTCATTTGTAGATGAAGAAACAACCTGGTACATACAAGTGTGGATATTATATCATGAAATACATGTTAAACATTGTCCTTGTCGGCATTGTTGATTCATGGGATAAGGTATATATGACATAATATGTTAACATATATTAATATATAAGTTGAAATATATTTTAAACATTTTTTTGCTCTTTCTTATGTAGATGTTTAACAACATAACCCCATTCCCCGTTGAGGACATTATCGATCTTCATAAACGTTGGACGTATATCCACAATGTGCTTAAGGGTCCTGCTATTTGATTTATTGAGATGTGCTAATGACTTATTTTTTGTATATGATGATGTGAATATTACTTTTGACTTAAACATATTGTCTTTGATGTAAATATTAATTTTGGCTTTTGATGCACAATGCTAGTTGTTTCTTATGCTCTTTATACATGGTTAACAAAAATACGGGTTGTTGTAAATTCTCTGATATGGTTATAATAGTTACAGGATAAAAAAATGGGAAGAATTTGAGAAGCAGAGAATTGCAAATTTAAAACAGAGGAAGTTTTGACAGCGGTTATAAAACCTAACAGTGATTGTATATTAAACGATGACCAAAATAATATAAATTACAAAATGTTGATGTTGAGAATTGAACATGAGACCTTTAGTTTTATCGCAACAGTTGGGTTAAAGAACTGTTGTGATATGGCACGCGCTTTTTAGAATACAACAACGGTCTCAGGATCGTGATTGTAAGTACCACATATACAACCACACGCTATATAACAACGCCTGGTCCCGCGTGGTTATATATCTTTCCCAACCGTTGTTAAATGAATTTTTCGTAGTAGTGTGAGGCTGGTCTAAAAGCTTCCAACACAATCTCAGCTTCACAAATGATAGCAAGCACTTGGCGTGTAACTGTTTTGGACCGACCGAATAGCCTAATAAGATCGGTCTAACACTAAATGCCCAATCCATAATACCTTCACAGGAGAAGGATGAACAAATGACTCTCACCAAAAGGTTGTGCGCCATATTTTAGCTACTAGCTCATCACCGATTATCAAATATAATTAGAAGGTCTCTCGCACCTCACGTCGGACTAAGTGAGAACGATTTTAACCGCCTATCATATATAAGCTTTTCACACATCGTAACATATATTAATTCATTCACTCTTGCAAAGTTACATCTCTCAGGCTTTACTAACTTGAATGTTTGAGTGATAACTTTGAATATACACATCCACTCCACCGCAAGGAAGGCTTGTACTATGGTACTAAAAGAACTCATTCACTTTACATCATCAATCTCATGTTCCACACCAGAATAATATTCATAATTGAAATTAAGATTGTATGATTGTCACCCACTAAACTTGTGTATAACTCGAATTTTAAATATATTTAATAAACCGTTATAAAGAATAACATCTATTCAAATGATCACTTGCTCATTATACTTCAACTCATTATAATTCTTTTTGTTTGATTAAAGGGCTAAATAAGTTTTTTGGACTCTCTAAGTATTGTAGATTTTGTTTTTAGTCTCTCTCAATATTTCCTTCAAAGAATGGTCCTTCTAAAATTTTCCATCTATACTTTTGGTCCCTCCTACTAACATTTGTTAACAAATATGACGTGGCAGTGACAGCTATCAAAGATGCTGACGTGATATGTCATGTGGCTAAGGTCAAGAACATACGGAAGAGTATAAAATTTCATAACTAATTCGTTGTTAAAGTCGTAGCTAATTTCTAACATTTAAAACATATCTCGTTATGTTTCAATTCAACCCCACTCAATTGCTGATTAATCAGACGAGTTTTACCTTACATTTCCAACTTTAATAGGCCAATGGCCTTAAACATTTCTCTTAGTAAGATTAAATAAATACAACTGAAGTTCAAAACCCAAACTTGTTTTTGTTGAAAAAAGAGATGCAACGCCTACTGTAAAATGTGCACAGAAACAACATCAAGGTTGTACAGCCTCCAAAAGTTTCTCATAAACTTGTCTAGCAGTCAAATCCTTCACCACAAGAAGCTTTGACTTATTGTTCCATCCTCTCTGAAGAGTCATTTTACTCAATCTTAAACCCAAAACGTTTCCCATAAACTTCAAAAGTTAATTGTTAGCTTTTCCACGTGCAGCAGGAGCAGCTACAGAGACTCGAACAAATCCACCTTCAAGATTTGAAACAGGTGCATCCTGGGGGTTGGTTTCAGCAGCGACAGTACTGAGAGCTTTGTTAAGCACATAAATAAAAGTGGAAGAATCCAAATCTTTAGCCCAGACATAAATTAATAAAGTTTCAACAAATGTTCATGCACATTGTTCATTTCACATTCACACCTTTACTAATTATTATCACACCAAGTAAAAATATTCCAACAAGAACATGTTCCACATAACTCATCTCTTGGGGTACAAGAGGCTAGTCCATTTTTTTCTTTGGTATATAAACATATACGATATATAGAAGGTGAAAATATGATACTAAACCAAAAGTTGGATACTAAAAATTGAGAACTAATAATAAGGTTATACTAGCAATTTTCTTTTGGTTTTTGAAAATTGTGTTTTGGATAATATAGATCTTTATTTTCATGCACTAACTTATATACTAATATGTGAGGTGGAATTTGTATTCTAGGGATGATCTTCAATGTTTCTCATTTGCTCTCTATGTGCCAATATATTATTTCATTTGTGGGTATTTATGATGTTCTTTTTTTGTCTGATCATTCATTATTCACACTCACATAAAAGGGTACAAAAATTTATTTGGAACTTTAGTCTCTAGGTTTAATGGGCTATATATGAATTATATATTTTGGTATTGTGCATATATTGTTTGAGTGATTCCAAGTATGCGGTATGTGGTTTTGAATCACTTTGTCTGGCTTATGCAGGTTGTGTAATTGTTTTCATGCTTGGACAAGATTACCTATATTGAATGGGCCCTTGATTCTGAGTATATTCTTTGTGGTCTCTACAAAAAACCAATGATACAGGCTTGGTCACTCAGCCAGCCAGAGTGGACATGCAAGATAGACGAAGGTCTTGCTAGTATTGCATATGCGAGGTGGAGCCCTAATAGTCGTCACATACTCACCACATTAGATTTTCAGTTGCGTTTAACAGTTTGGTCATATTGGTGAACATGTTGCTGCATAAAGGTCGAAAGTGAAAATAAATATGGAAGAGAGAAAGAAGTGACGGCTACTACAACAATTTGTTTAAAAAAAATTTGTATATTAAATTCTTAATAAAATTCTAGTTACAAACTAGTATATATATATATATACACAAGATAAAGTATCATGTAGGCCCTAAAAGTAAACTTAATAGTTAAGTTAACAAAACAAGCTAAAATACTAAATTACCCTTCAATATCATCCTTTAATTTAGGATTTCCTAATTAAAACTAACAACATCAATTTCATCCCTCAAACAGATAAAGTGTTCAGTCTTGACATCCTTTGTCAGAACATCTGCAAGTTGTTTCTGGTTGCTACAGTGTACAACTTCTAATTCTCCATTTAGAAATGCAGATTTCTCCTTGAAAATCAGAGTCTGAATAGCATATCAGCTCTACATCAGTCTTCTCAATAGAAGGGAATAACACTTCATACCTCAGAGTCCCTTCAGTTTCTTACAGCTTCTCAAACTCTGCAAATCTCCTTGGTATTTTTCTGATTTGTTGTGACCTCTGGACTTGTTCAGAATCTCCTTCTCATTATGGAACCATATCTCTTTCTAGACTTTCTTCAGAAGTTCGACTACCACCAGAAGCTCTACCTTTGTTAACTTCTGGACCTCGTCCAGAACCACTACCTTCAGAAATACCACCTTCAAAAGTTGGATCGCCTTTAGAAACTCTGCCTTCAGAAGTTCCACCTTCAGAATCATGACGACCGTCAAAAGCTGGACTACCTTCAGAAGCTCCTCTTTCATAAGACTTGTCTTCAGAGACATGATTTCTACCAGAAACATGATCATCTCCAGAAGCTTGTCCTCCAGAACCTACGTCTTCAGAGTTTTCCCTTCCAGAAGCATGATCACCACCTGATTCAAAATCTAGATCAGAATCAGATTCACCATCTGACTCATCTTCAGAGTCTCCAGAAGATTCTTCATCTTCTAACTCTGACTCACTTTCATAACTTTCAAGTTCGGACTCATCTTCAGAACCTTCAGATTCTGATTCATCTTCAGAAGTAGAATCTCCTTCAGATTCTGATTCATCTTTTGATTCTTCTTCAGACTCAGAATCACCTTCAGATTCTGACTTGTCTTCAGCTTCAGAGTCTTCTAACTCTGACTCATCTTCAGAAACCTCAGATTCTGAATCATCTTCAGAATCTTGAAAGTCATCTTTTGATTTTGACTCATATTCAAACACTCCTTCAGAATATTCAGAGTCATCTTCTTCCCCTTCAGAATCAGAAAATGACAATCGCACATGTTCATCATCTGATTCATAAGCCATTAATAGCAATGGTTCATTATCATAATCTCCTCTGGCTATTATTGCTTCTTCTTTGTTTGACCCACAATCTTTAGCAAAGTGGTCAAACCTATTACAACAGTAACATTGAACCATTCTCTTATCATACTTTTTCTTTCCCTTCCGATGTTTCTTTTCATCAGAATAGAAGACTTCTGACTACTGAGACCTACCATGTATTTTCTGCTTCTAGTCCTTCTTGACAAAAGAAGCCTTTAGAGTCTGCTCAACTTCTCTTTCAAAAGTTCTCTAAGTCAGACGCAACTCTTGCGCTTCTAGACTGCTTTGCAGCTCTCTATTCTCATGGTGTCCATATCTTTAGAATGTTTAATTGCTACAATAATTTAATCAAATTGATGGGTAAGATACCTCTATATCTTCTCAATGATTACTTGTTCAAAAAGGGTTTCTCCATAAGCTTTCATCTCATTAGTGATTAGAATCACTCTAGAGATGTACTCAGATACCTTCTTGTTGTCCTTCATATTGAGATTATCATACTGCTTTCATAGAGACTGAAGCTTCACCTTCTTCACTAATGTGTGATAAGTGCAAATTGTAGCTATTTTTTCATCTACTTTTTGTTGTACTTATCGACTCTTTGTTGTTAATAATCGTTGAATAAACTCGACTTTCGCGTAAATATGTTTACTTCACGAATAACTGTGTTTTAATGTATATAGTGTAACGTTTGATAGTTTTAATGTCTTTTGCAGGTATTTGTTGCATATTTGGATCATCGAGGAATAAGGTATCGAAGGTACGGCTCCGAATGCGTGTTTTCGGAATAAAAGTCCATTTTGGGAAGTTTTGTCCAGGCAGGCGCACTACGAGTGTTTTGACAGATTTAGCAGAGGTTATGCTGATGAGACCGCTTAGCGGGATCAAGCCGTTTAGCAGGGTTAAGGCGGTTTCACGTGTAATATAAGTTGCCGACCGCTTAGCGGGATCAGCCCGCTTAGCGCAGTCTGCTGAGTTGAGTTTTATAAAAACAAATTTATTTCATTTAGGTTATGGTTTTTGGGGTGTTTTTGTTCCCAAATTCCATGAACCTTATTTTTGATAGATTAGCTTAGAAAACAACACTAGGGCTTTGCTTATGGATGATTGGAGGTGAATTTCTCATCGACCGACATTGACAAACGGGAAGATTTGTGGTTTATCTCTTCTCCTCTCTATGTATTTCTCTTTTGTTGGGTTTTGTATATATTTTTACTTCGAACTCATGTATATTTGTCGCACATGGCATCGTATAAAACTTGCTTTACAAATCTTTGTCGATTATTATCCTGGATTTTTACTGTGTTAGGGATTTGGGTTGTTATAGACATATACTGCTTGGATTCTTATCTAGGATGATTATCTATTAGTTTATGAATTCTAGATATAGATTTATAGTTGACATTCACTTTGGGTATCGGAGCTTAATCTCTCTGTCTTGTTTGCGTTTCTCTGAGAGATCGTCAACGCGAGCGATATAGTTGACTTCTGTGTTGTTGAGGTTGGTTGAGAGATTGCCGCGGAGATGATATAATCGGTGTTGCAGTTGATACATGTTGACATTGATGAATATTGTAGGTTGAGTATAACTGGTCGATAGGTTTAAGTTTGTGACGAGTAGAGTACATTTGTGTCGGATAAGTTTGTCTTTCCTTTTTATACATTTATTTTCTGTTGATACCTTTTACCTTTCCTTTCAACCCATTAAACCCCAAACTCATTAACGAGAGATTTTCGAACAACAACTCAATAGCACTAATCCATGTGGAGACGATACGATATAACCTAAATATCACCCTGTAAATTAATACTTACTTTTTGCTTGCCGCTTTACCGCTTCAGCAAAATGACATCATTGTCAAGGATTGTTGTTTTTATTGAATCGCATCGCGATAGTTTCTTTGTTTTTTTATTTTTGTAAATATAGTATATATTGTCTATTTTCACTTGTCTTTATTGATACTTGTATATGTTTACCAAATTTGTGAATTTTTACATGTTTTGTATACTTGTGAATATAGTGTATATATTTGTTTCTCTTCACGTTTTCCAAAGGTGTGTTTAGATGTGTAGTTTCGGTTAGAGCTCGAAGAGATTAGAGCAAAGACGGGAGTGAAGCATTTGGATCATCTTAAGAAATGTGCTAGTTTGTAAATAACAGGCGTCAAACTTACGACGTAAAACAAACATGTTTTTCATTGTTTCTGTAGTGTGGTGAATTTTGTTCAAAAAAGTTGAAATCGGTCAAGTTCTAAAAATTCTCAAATCTTCACTTTTCAACTTGTTTAGTTCAAACTTCCCCGGATTATTTAGTATGTTTATAGTAGTTCGTGTTAATGTGTTAAATTTTATTTTATGCAAGCTTGTTGTGTTTAGTTTGAGGAAGTTTGTATGTTATAAATATTGTATATTTGAGGTTGTGTAGGTGTGATGGAGTAGCATGAAAATGCAGCAGTTGTCCCTGTTTTTCTGCATTTTTCTGCTACCACTAAGCGCGGTATGTCCTGCTTAGCGCGTGTTTATAGTGTATCCCTCTAAGCGCACTTTGTCCCGCTTAGCGCAGTCTGCTATGTTGAGCTAGTGAATTCTTTTATTTTCACCTGTCTTCCTTTTTCTCACTTTCACCAAGGCTTTGTCGTAGTAAATAACATTAGTATTATTTTTGTAATAATTTTTATTTGTTGTTTGTCGTCCAATTTTAGTCCGGTAACTTGAAGATTTTCGAGGTGATTTTTCAATTTTGATTGATTCAACTTGCGGATGTATAGTAATGATAGTTTTTGAAGTTGGTACACGTCAAGTACTCGTTTGTCGCTTTCTATAACATAACATGTTTATAAAACTTTTCATTTGTATAATTACCATGTCATTTATTATTTTTGCATTACTTGCTCATGACTTGAATCACTTTAATTCTCTTTTTACCCCAATTGTGAGGAAGCCTTCCATTGTTCATATATGCTAGAGGCCAAAATTCTTGTTTTAACTGGATTTTATTATGTTTAATCTTTTTTTGTATTGATTGTATGAAAGCATAAAAATAATCAAGGCATTTTTTATTTATTTTGAGCACAACTACCTAGCAAAATAGTCAATTCACCTTGTGAGTGTGTGAACTTTTGTTAAACCCTTTTTATCCCTTTTGGCAATGTCCATGTTGTTTTTGAACGTAATATTTGTCTATGAGTGTTTAGTTTTCCTTTTTTTAATGGATGTTGATTCGTTTATTTTTCTTGAATCCTCAACCATGACTTTTGGTTTGAATTTATATCTTGCCTTAGAAAGTAGGGAGTATTCACTCTTTGGTGTTGGTTGAATTCAAGTTGGGAAGGGGAATGTTTACTTACTTATATTAGGGTTGCTATGAGGTTGTGTAAAAGAAAAAGAAAAGAAAAGAAAAAAAATAAAGAAAAAGAAACGAAAAGAAAAAGAAAGTAAAATTGAAAAAGCTTTGAAAAAGAAAAACAAAAAGAGTGTGGAATAATATTGTGTTAATAAGTATTGCGATTGGTGTGAAAATTTTGGGATTATGAAGAAAGTTGATGGAAATTTTGTGTTTGAGCTTTTGTGGCCGATTAATCCCTTAGGTTTATGCAAGTTTTTGTTTCGATTAGCTTTAGGAAGTATCCATTGTTTGTTAACCAAGCCACATTACAACCTTGAAAAATCCTTGTGATTCTTTCCTTTTTATTTTTAATATGAGTTTTTGGATGAATGTATAATTGAGTATTTTGTTTGCAAGATTATGTATGAGTGTCTTTTGTCTCTCACTTTTGTGTGTTCTTCATCTACCGATGAATTTTTACTAGGTGTAATTTATGATTGAGCTTGTTTTTTTTTAGAATGTTTAGTATGATTTATTACTTAGGATTAGTTTCGTTTACATGTTGTCGTTGTAGGATTGTGGTAAGTATTTATCTTGCGTGTGCGTTTTCGTTTGAACCATACATTTTTTCCATTTTTCAAACTTGTTGATTCGTGATTTTTATTTTTGATTACTTTTGTTATTTGAGTTGTTTGGCCTTGTTTGAGGACAAACAAGTTCAAGTTGGGGAGAGTTTGATAAGTGTAAATTGTAACTATTTTTACATATACTTTTTGTTGCACTTATAGACTCTTTGTTGTTAATAATTGTTGAATAAACCCGATTTTTTATATAAATATGTTTACTTCGCGAATAATTGTGTTTTTATGTATATAGTGTAACGTTTGATAGTTTTAATGTCTTTTGTAGGTATTTGTTGCATATTTGGAGTATCGAGAAATAAGGTGTCGAAGGCACAACTCCGGATGCGCGTTTTCGGAATAAAAGTCCATTTTTGAGAAGTTTTGTCCAGCGCGCTACGAGTGTTTTGACAGATTTAGTAGAGGCTGTGCTGGTGAGGCCGCTTAGCGGGATCAGGCCACTTAACAGAGTTAAGGCAGTTTAACGTGTATTTTAAGTGGTAGGCCGCTTAGCATGATCAGCCTGCTTAGCGCGGTCTGCTGAGTTGAGTTTTATAAAAACAAATTTAGTTCATTTTTAGGTTATCGTTTTTGGGGTGTTTTTGTTCCCAAATTCCATCAACCTTATTTTTGATAGATTATCTTAGAAAAAAACACTAGGGCTTTGCTTATGGATGATTGGAGGTGAATTTCTCATCGAATGACGCTGACAAACCGAAAGATTTGTTGTTTATCTCTTTCCTCTCTATGTATTTCTCTTTTGTTGGGATTTGTATATATTTTTACTTTGAACTCATGTATATTTTTCGTCCATGGTGTTGTATAAAACTTGCTTTACAAATATCTGTGTTAGGGATTCGGGTTATTATAGACATATATTGCTCGAATTATTATCTAGGATGATTATCTGTTAGTTTATGGATTCTAGAGATAGATTTAGAGCTGACATTCACTTTGGGTATCAGAGTTTAATGCCTCTGTCTTGTTTGTGTTTCTCTAAGAGATCGTCAACGTGAGTGATACGGTTGACTCTGTGT